CTGGCCATTTTCTGGTTGCAGCCATCATTGTTGTTTGGCAGGCTCGGGCTGGGGATTCGAACCCGCCACCTTAGGTGTATGTGGCTGGCGCCTTAGCCGCTTGAGCCACAGGCGCGCCAAGCCGTATTCAGGGTCTTATGGTCAAAATCTATCCAGCTGTTGGTCTTTTGGTGCCTATCAGTTCTAATAAAAGAATAACCAATATTCTGCAAAATATGCAATGAAAGTCACATCAATTTGAAACACAGTTATAGAAACTTTTTTCTGAAAATGATTATTTTTTTCAAAGGTTAAATTATTAAATTATCACAGATTGTGCTATCTGATTCAATAAAAATATACAGAATTTTACTTTTAATAGTCCACATGTTTTTTTTGATATCTCTAAACCTTTATTTCTTTGCTCTGGTTTCTGTTAAAGATTTGGAAATTTTGCTTTCTATCTGTTTCTGTTTCACTTCTCTTGGCGTTATGCAATTTTCACTTCACTTTATTTTTTTTTTTTGAGACAGTCTCACTCTTGGTAGAGTGCCGCAGCTTCACAGCTAACAGTAACCTCAAACTTTGGGGCTCAAATGATTCTCTTATCTCAGCCTCCCAAGTAGCTGGGACTACAGACACCTGCCACGCATGGCAATTTTTCTTATCTGGGTCTCACTCTGACTCAAGATGGTCTCGAACTTCTGAGCTCAGGCAATCCACATGCCTCGGCCTCCCAGAGTGCATATTATAGGAGTGAGCCACATTCCCAGGCCAATTTCACTATTCTTTTTATTGTTAAGTAGTTTTCTCTCTTTTGACACAAATCCTGAATTCATGAATTTATTTATGGCTATTTTTAGAAATGTATAGTTTATCATTTTTTGGTTATTGTCTTTCATTCATAACTTATAGCAACCTCAAACTCCCCAACTCAAGCAATCCACCACCTCCACTGAACCTACCAGCCTGGGTGTATGTGGCCGGCGTCCTACCCACTGAGCAACGGGCTCCGACAGTCAGTCAAATTTTCTAATATAACTGTTTAACATTTTTCTTCATTTATATATTGCATACCAAAACATTTTATCTCTATAATGGCTTTAGTGTCACCTAATGTTATTACAAATACGTCAATGTATCATAGCTTTCTCTATAAATTGTATTGTACTTATTATAAACTCTTAGTAAGTCTATATATATAAATGACTTAGAATAGTAACACAGTGAGGCCAAGAGAGTCTGAGATGCTAAGCTAAAGCAATACAGTGAATGTAGTCAGTTGACTTCACATTCCCCACACATTCCCGTATGATCATCTACTTAAGGTTCCACTATGATTGTGAGGATGTTTACCACAGGAGACTCTAAGAAGGCGTCACACATAGACAATAGGTATTGTGATATTGGTGAAGGTTACTTTGATGATCTGATATTTTCTCTGATGATACTCTTACATGATTTTGCTAAAGTGAAAATCACTTTTCTGTTGTTTAAACATTTTGCATTGTTAGAATAGAGACCACTTTGATGTTACTTCCTATCAAATAAACATTCTAGATTACCAGGGCACTCTACCCAGGGCGACAGCTTGAGACTCTGTCTCAAGTAAATAAATAACACATTTTACTAATATAAATAATAAGTAGAGCAATTACAGTTATATGTTTCATCCTATAACAAAAGTAATTTTAAAGATCATTCATTGATTAAAACCAAAGGCTCTGTCTACATTTTACTGCCTGAACTTTCAGTAAGAACTGTCTAGAAAAACATAGAAACACAAAATACTACAAATTTGAAATGAATACTTCAACAAGAAAAAAATTATCAAAGTAAATTCAAAAAGTAAAATATATAGGCTTGGCACCCATAGCTCAGTGGTTGAGGTGCTGGTCACATACAGTGAGGCAGGCAGGTCCGAACCCGGCCCAGGCCTACTCAACAACAATAACAACTACAACAAAAAAATAGCCAGGCATTGTGGTAGGCACCTGTAGTCCCAGCTACTTGGGAGGCTGAGGCAAGAGAATTGCATAAGCCCCAGAGTTTGAGGTTGCTATGAGCTGTGATGCCACAGCACTCTACCAAGGGTGACATAGTGAGACTCTGTCTAAAACAGAGAAAAAAAACTAAAATACTAAAGCCAAATAAAAACATTCAAATAAAGAAGACTATGGAAGACCAAGTATGGTAGCTCATGTCTGTAATCCTAGCACTCTAGCAGATTGAGGCTGGTGGATTGCCTGAGTTCAGGGAGACCAGCCTGAGCAAGAGTTCACACTCCATTTCTAAAAATATCTAGGCATTGTGGCAGGTGCCTGCAGTTCCCCCTACTTGGGAAGCTGAGGCAAGAGGATTACCTGAGCCCAAGAGTTTGAGATTGCTATGAGCTATGACAGCATGGCACTCTACCAAAGGCAACAAAAGTTAGACTCTGTGTTAAAAAATAAAAGAAAAATAAAGAAGACTATGGAATAATATCCATGGTGAATATTCAGACAGAAGCTACCAAAAAAAAAAAACTTAGCAAATTTAATCTACCCATGTAAAAGAGTGATTTTTCAGTGTATCATTACCAAACTGGATTAATCCACAGCCGCAATGTTGACTTAACCTTCAAAACTCAATCAGTGCAATATAGAAACCCAGAATAGGCTCGGCGCCTGTGCCTCAAGTGGCTAAGGCAACAGCCACATACACCTAAGGTGGCGGGTTCAAATTCAGCCTGGACCCGCCAAACGACGACAGCTGCAACCAAAAAAATAGCCAGGCGTTGTGGTGGGCGCCTGAGATCCCAGCTACTTGGGAGGCGGAGGCAGGAGACTCGCTTGAGCCCAGGAGTTGGAGGTTGCTGTGAGCTGTGATGCCACAGCACTCTACCCAGAGGGACAGCTTGAGGCGCTGTCTCAAAAAAAAAAAAAACCCAGAATAAAGAACAAAAAAGATAATTCTAATAGACACAGAAGAGTATTTGTCAAATCCAACACCTATTTATGATGAAACTTCCAGCAAACTACTAATACAAAGAAACCTTTCTAAACCTGGGAAAGGGAATATACAAAAATCTACAGGTAACATCGTTATAAAGGATTGGTCTTTGAAGTTTGGGAACAAAACTCTATTCATCACAGGACTAAAAATATTCTTCACAGAAATTATTAGATATAGTGAGGAATGTTTAGGCTCTACTAGGGACAAGGTGGGCTCTCTGCCTGGTTCTGCCTAAACAAATTGTCCCTACCGGGGAAGAAGGATAAAAAGTGGGCAGTCTAGGTGCTACCCCATCTTGATTCTGCCTCAAGCAACTACCACACCAGGGAGAGATGTGGCAGAAGAATGCACAATAGGATTAGCAAAGTCACCTAGAGTAACAGAAGGATAATTATCGTGTCTTTAACCATCCAACAAAGTTTATCTTTATTTAGTGATGATATCTAAACTAGGAGAAGAAGCCATTCCAAACACTACAAAAAAAGACCCCAGATTGTACCTCAGGCCTCTTGTTACACCCAACATAAGACCCATTCCTTGTCTGTGGTGAGGGTATCCTGCTCTTGTTCTATAAACCCATCTTGCTCTTCCTCAATAAATCTCCTTTCCTGCTTACCTTGCTTTCAGTGAGGTTGGTCATTCTTCACACCAGAAGCTAAGAATAGACAATCCCCACCTGACAAAATAACAAAAAAATACAATTCAACTTCTTTTCTCCTTTGGCATATTTAATTAATTAATTTTTATTTTAAAGACAGAGTTTCACAATGTCACCCTCACAGCTCACAGCACCCTCAAACTCTTGGGCTTAAGTGATTCTCTTCCCTCAGCCTCCCAAGTAGTTCTGACTACAGGCACCCCACCCACAACACCTGGCTTTTTTTTTTTTTTTTTTGAGACAGAGTCTCAAATTGTCTGCCTGGAAAGAGGGCCACAGCAACGTCATACATAGCTCAGAGCAACCTCCAACTCTTGGGCTCAAGCAATCTTCTTGCCTCAGTTTTTTGTTATTTTTTCTAGAGACGGGGTCTTGCTCTGGCTTAGGGTGGTCTGGAACCAGTGAGCACAAGCAATCCACCCACCTAGGCCAACCAGAGTGCTAAGATTACAGGCATAAACCACCACACCCAATCTTGAATTATATTTTTAATCAAAGATGACACAAATTTGCATGTGTAAATTTGTAAGAAATTCAGTATAACTTGGCATAACAAATATGAATTCAGCAGTGACAAGGTTCAAGATAAACACAAAAAAGTAAATTGTACTTTTACATGCTACCAATGAGTTCCACTTGTTACAACATAAAAAAAAAAAA